GGAGTCTTCCAAATTTCTCATTCAGTCTGGAAGTAATGAGACTTATTCTGTAGTGATAAAATTTATGCCATAAATTATCTCCAAAAGAAGGGTGCCTCACAAAACAATGCTTCCCATTTGTTAGAATTAGATTTTTAAATACTTGTTTGAATAGGTTGCTTTGTAAAAGGGGGCTGAGCTGTATTTTCCCTGATAACTTTTGCTCAAGACCAAAGAAATGAAACAACCCATAGTGCATGGAGCTTGGTTGGTATCAATCAGTCAGAAAGAAAGTCACTGATTTAGGTATTGCAATAAAACTTGGCCCCCAGAATCTATCCCTGCATTCACTCATCAGGTTTTAGCAGGATTCTCAGAGACCTTTCGAGGAATCAAGTTTCTGTTTCTCAGAATACTCAGGAGGTGTTTTGTTCCATCTTTAAAAAAGAAAAAGTATGTTTCAAACCAGGACTTTTTGTCAAGAAACATATTTTACAATATACTAAAATCACTATGATAAGTGAGTGCTATTCATCTTGGCACACATTACAGATAGGACTTGCTTTCTCTCATGGCTTTAGTAATTCCACTGCATACACTCATGCCTTAAATTTAGTTAGCACAGTATTTTCTAATGCAATAAAAGTCTATGATCATCTGCTGCTAGATAAGTTAGTCAATGTACTGCTTGTAGACTGGCTTACCTGTTGTCTGCACAATGAATGTTATGAATTTAAAATTACCTTTACAGAGTGAGTTTATGTTCACCGACATAATATGGGAACCCAAAGAGTTATTTCATGACTTATAGTCAAGAATCTCCCTTCTCAAAGTGTGCTTTATAATATTTAAATAAAATGCTAACATCCCATTGAGTCAAAATCCTTTCTGCACACGATAAGCACAAATAAAGCTGCTAGAGGTGTGGCTCAGCATATAAGAAAGCACAGATTCTGCACAGATGGTTGTATATTTATTGTCATGCTAAGATGTCTTCTAGATGCTGAGAATTCAGGAATTAACAATATATTATAAGCAGCTTAAAACTATAAAAGCAATAGACAAGAAGAAGTGAAGAATTTTCAAAAGACAGTAAAGTAACTTCATAAACTAAAGGTGGTTTTTCAAAAGACACCACAGGTGACAGAAAATGTGGGGCTACTGTATGCTTCTTATAACTTTCAGATTGGAATGTGTATCCCAAGCCTTATTGACAGTGATGATTTCTTCATGAATAGTTGAAACAATCGCACAAATAGATACCCAGAACTCCCAAAGACTCAATTGTCATATATATCTCATATTCAGTCTTTCCTCAGATGTGGAAGGATGTGGCTCAGGCATTCAGAATGCAAAGCAATTGTGCTTTTCTATAAACATGTGGGCAGTTCTAACTAGCCAGTATGCAAAATCATATTATTGCAATCTTACCTTGACCTTCAGTGATGACCACATTAGTTCCCATACTCTCAAAAAGAAAATATTTGACAATTTTCTAAAATTATTTTGTTATTCCCAATAACTTAAGTTTCTGATTCTCAGGCTACTTTCCCGATTTAAAATGCCATGAATATTCAAGACACTGTTTCCAGGGTTCCAATTCATCCCTCCTGTTCTCCAAACATTTTCAAATAATGGTGACTTTGCAGTTCAATTTCAGCTACAAGGCTTTTGGAAGCTAACCATTTTTAACCAGATGTATCTTCCCATGATTCAGTTTGTGCTACCAAGAAAGAAAATATACCTTCTAGTTACCTAAGTCAACACTTAAGTCACTGGTTTCTTTATCCAGTCATACTAATCTAATGTATGCACATTCCCATGTACTAGTTCATGAACAAGAGAAATTTGTAATCTAGGATTAATTGTGACAGCATTATTCACAGATGCAATGTATTTCGCAACAGTGGGAATTACAAGTGAATTGTATAGTCCCTCTTACAGTTCCACATTAGCCATTTCAAACCACTAAGGTAGACATGTAATAGATTTGTAAGGCACACGTGGTACTCATAGCACCTAATATGTGCATTAACAAATAAATATTACCTTAATACTAATTACAAGCATGTTTTATGAAAATGTCACAAGTATTACATTATTTTTCAAATATTGCTAAGAAGTGAAACATTTTTGGGGATTTCTTTGAAAGAAGAAATAAAATTTTAGGATGGCATCACTTCATCATCTGCCTTTCCAAATACCTAGCTGACAGAAATAGCTCCACATGTTCTTATTTTTAAAAATATATAAAAACTAGTAGAATATTTTGCCATCTGCTTATTTCAGTATTCCCTGTTTCCCCAAAGACAGCTTTATTCCTTAATCTTTGATTTTATGGGAACATTTTTAGGTTTAATCTGTAGCTTTAACACTGAAAGATCCAATAAAAGGAAATTTGTAGCCATCTCAGTGCTTAAGACAGGAATTTTTATCAGAAATACCAAACCTTGCAGTTTTACACTAGAAGGTGGGAGGGATTTTAAAAATCTGAGCATAACACCAAAGTAGCAGATTGGTTGCTTCTACTAACTTACCACTGTCTAAAAGGTATCTATTCAAACAATGCAAAGGAAGGCAAAGGCCAAAGAAACATCAGATTGCAAGAGAATGACAATATCATCAGAGCCAGTAAGTCCTGGCAAGGTTGACAAGGTCAGGAAGGGGCCTCATTAGGTCACTGGGTGGAATTTCACTGAATGTTGAGAGCTGGAGGCTTAATGTTTGAAGAAATAAAGGTAGGGGAGGGTCCAAGAAGGACTCCTCAGACTGTAGTGAATCACACTCTGAAAACTTGGTAAGTGAAGGCAGGTTAGAGGGCAGGCATGCCAGGCTAGGCTGAAGTACACATACCAGCCACACTGAGCCTGGAGGATGGATATGTTGGGGAATGACAGGATAAGGTCTCAAAGAAAGATAACTTGAAAGAACAAATTAATAAAATTAAAAGATGAAATAGCATGACTATGAGAGACTTATGGCCAGAAAGGGATAACCATAGGATGTAAATAAGCCAAGTTCAAACATGACTGACTAGGTGGCACTGAGCATTAGGAAGATAATTTTGTCTTCCTAATTTGTTTTACTACTCAATATCCTTTCAAAGTCTTCCATATACTTTTATCACCAATCTTTGAAGTCTCAGCTCTCCCTAAGAGTAATTCTTGGGATTCTAAGGTGGGTCTCTTCACACAATGTCCACCGTTTATTGGTTTCAGTCTTTGTCTGTTAATTCCTCTATAAGACATCACCAAGCATAAATCAAATCTTCATACTTGAGGATGCCACAATCTCCCAAAATAAAAGCCACATGAACAGATAAATGTCCCTCCTGCACTATTACAACTCACCTTCTCACTGATAAATTACACAATAACTATTATACACTAACTGCAAGCATTAGTAATTTCCCTAAGAAGTACATAAGCTCTAAAAGATTGTTTTTCCAATGTTAGTGATTATTCCTCTGGACCTGGTCTCTGTGAACAAGTATGACAATCGTGAGAGATCAGCAAATCAGATGGGGACATGATGAATAGTGCTGTCTGTTGTCAAACAACAGGATGGAATCAAGTCTCACTCCTACCTTCAAATCTCTTCCCTTTGCTAATTTATAGGACCCAGAAAACTTCTGTCAACCTATTCAGTCATCTACAAGATGACAATAAAATGAATTTTCCTTTGTTAGACTAGGATAGAGATAAGAAAATTGGTAATATGAAATTTCTTAATACAGTAATAATTAATAAAGTTCAAGTTCATGAGAAAGCATGGAATATTGTGGTGGATTGTTATACAATGCTTAAACTTAACTGGTGGAGAGTTTATGTGCTATCTTGGATAAACTGGTCTATCACACTTAAACAGAACAGCATTTCACCACAGCTCCTATTAACTTGTATCCAAAAAACTAAGACAATTAGAGTGGGCTATCATTCTTCAAGCACAAAATGGAGATTAAATGAATTTTAAAATAATCAATGCACTGGTTTCTATCTCACTCAAACTACTTGAGACAGGGAACATTGATTACCCAAATTACTTGGATAATTCCTTCTGAGAGAACCAGAAACGGATCAGAGTTTTGAACAGTAACCACAGAGAAGGAAAAAGGGTTTCGTTAGATCACTTGGTAGGTGTAGAACTGCAGCATCATGATTAAGAAGGAAGTTCCTGACAGTAAATAGCTTGCTTGGAAAAGTATGGAAAATTTATGACTTCTACGAGTGCCAACCTTTCATCCTAGGGGTGTAAACCTAAAATTCTTCAACTGTGGAGCTTGAATCTATACAGGATATAAGGGTCATGGGTATTTTCTATAAAGGAAACTGAAAGTTCACTCATTCTTGGTTGGTAAGTACTGTAAAGATGAAAATTCTTTTCAGCTTTGTATTATTTTAATTATTTTCCCATTTTCATTTTAGAGTCTTTGACTCTTGCTTAAATGGTAGCTTTTTAGGTCAATTGATTTTAGTTCACTTCTCAAAGCATGCAGGCCAGGATAAGGTAGTAAGAAATTATTTCAGGAGGATAAATCTGCATGTTTGAATCCTAAATAAAATTTTCTATAATATTCACACTGAAAAGGTGCCATTTAAGCTTAAGTTGCCCTTAACAAGCATTCATAGAAAGGGCCAGAATAACTACTTAACATTAACCTTTCTTAGGAAGCAAAAATGACCAATGGCAAATTGATTTCATATGTTCTAATACCATCTTTATTCCCAGAGGAAGGTAAAGCTTCCAGTGCATCTAGAAACCAAGTGGCAGGTTTTCTATCCAAACATATCTCTGCAAAGTAAGGTGGTGGTGTACAATAACTCATTATTCACAGAAACCTGAGCTGTGCTTCATCTTGACTTGGTTATATAGGTCGCCTTCCTTTGTGGGCAGAATGATTATACATGTGGTAAATGGAACTAAAGTCAATATAAACACTGATGTCTTGTCTTCTGACAGCATTTAAATGTGCAAGCATTAAGTTATAGGAGAAAAGGGGCTAATTTGAGATTTGTTCCTAGCCCTCTCCATGTGAATGGTGTCGCTGTGAGCCCAGCAATGAAGTTCACTGTGTTGTAGCAGACTGCGCAGTTCCTGAGTGTGTCAACCCAATCTATGAACCAGAACAATGTTGTCCTGTCTGCAAAAATGGTAAGAATACCCTGCATTAGCTTTCAAGAAGGGCTTAGGACAAGACACCAGTATTTCACACCTGCATGTCATTCAGTGCAAGAGCCCTCTAAGATCTACATCTGGCTTTTCAATATGGGCAGCACTGGCATATATGTTTTTCTGAAGGCTAAAAGTGAAATGTACTAGGGTTGAGTGAATTGAGTAGCTTCTCATCTGGGGAATCATTGATCTTGCAAGCTGGCTTTGTTGTGACCCCTGTTATTTATTGTTGATTTATAAAGAGACTATTGGAGAGAACACCGTCCCATTTTTTTTTGTAGTGATTGAATTTCTCTTTATTTTGGAGCTTGTAAAGAAGTTCCCCAAATTTCATAGTGTATAGTGCATCCTAAGACAGAGATTGGAGCAAATATCAGATATTTTTGTTTGGATGTAAATAAGGCATCAAATTTAAAGTTGTCCAAAGTATATAAATTCAATTATAAGTATACTTAAGCTCAAGCTGAAACTGATGCATTTGGAGGGGCAGGAGGGTAACCAAGATTTTCATTTTAGAAGTGTGCTGTCCTTACAGAAAATGCTATAGATGAGGAAGTAATGCGTATATAAGATTATGAGTTCATTTCTTTCCCCTTATGAAATGGAATAGTTGGGAAAATTATGTATCTTACTCATCTGAAATCTCCATAGTGCCCTAGAGATTACATTGCAAAGCAATGATCCCCCAAGACACTATCAGCAAGGATCATACAATCACACTTTTCTTAGTGGTTATGTTCTGCCAAAGGAGAATAAATACTTCACTAGCCCCATTGGCATTCGCATGTGCTTGGGGTGGAGGGTGGTTGTAGACCTTGTCGTCAAACACTATAATGCTGAATTGATGTGCTCTCTGATGAGGTATCAGTGGTTATCTCATATATATATTAAATTTACATTATCTCATATACTAATCTTTTCCTTGACAGATGGATAATTTGTTTATAAATAGCATCAAGTTATTTAAAGAAAAACAAAAGTGACAAAACAAAAGTGACTCCTACTGTTTTAAAAATAAGTGTTGTGGTTTGGTATCTTCCCAAAGCACTAATCATGAACCCTTCTGACTTTTTTTCTGGACATAGGCTTTCCTGATTCTTATCTTATAAGTCCATTACATTATGTTACTAAATTGATCGTTTGGCTTCTCTTTTTCTTCTTATTCAACTGACTTATGTTGGCAATCTCTGACTCAAGAGGTGGAAATAAATACACCCCAGAAGATCTAACATGTCCTATATATGCAAACATACACGATTTAAAACTTCATATTTCTAAAAAGGCTTAAAGAAACTGGAAAAGATAAAAGAAAGAACAGTAAGATGATTTAATGGCTAAAAAAAATAGGACCTGGGAGGATAGACTGAAGGAGTTAGCATAATTTGTCCAGAAGAGAGGGCTCAGGGGAGAAGTAACTGTCATGAAGTATATGAATGGTTAGTCTAAAGTAGAAGAGGACTTGTTATTTTTCATTTTCTCCAAGGATAGAAAGAAGGAAAGCTCAGCTACCCAATCAATCTTTAAAAATGGGATTGGCAAGTCTTTAACTGGAGACCTTTTTTAGGGGGTGGAAGTAACCATCTAAACAGGTCCTTGAGAATATTGTCTTCCCTGGGTGGCCCTAGTTAACTTTGCCTTGCTTTTAGAGTAAGTGCTTACAGTTAAAATCTTGTCTGTGCATACTCAGGGGAATTCAGAGAATCATGTCCATGTATTTAGGATGCAGGATTAAAGTATGCTTCTAATAAATCACTCCAGATACCCAACACAAGTCTGCACCATATCTAGACTTCATGTCTAGTCAAATGTTATGACAGCCACTTCAAACTAGTCATATTTAACATGGCATTACTCAAGATTAGCTTGCATTTATCATATATTAGAAATTCATCTTCAAATAAAACTCTTTGTGCATATGTAATAAAGGAACTTTGAGTCACCTATTTGTATAACCGATGAGTTCATGCTAAGTGCACACTGTGTTAATTAAGTTTTGTGATGCTGTGTCCATGACACTGTATACAAAGACCACTTCTATTTCATCCTGCTACTTCCAAACAAGTTAATAGTTTTTAAAAATAATAAGGGAACTAAATCTGTATTTAAATAAGTAGAAAGACTAACTGTTGCAATAACATACTAGTAAGAGATGTTTTATTATTAAATATCATTAATTCAACAACTGTTCTCAAAACATAAGGTATGATCACTGCCAAAAGGCATTGATAAAAAGGGTTAGAAACCCCTAAGACCTGTATTTCATTAATGAAGCAGACTGAGCCCACACTTGAAGTTGCTAACTTTCTAAGCATAGTTAAGAAAATAGATGAAAAATACACATATGTAGAAGAGCTGGATGGAAAGTAAATATGACAGACTATAAGAAGGAGTGTTTTGAAAATTCCAGTGCATTGTAAGCTGAGCTCATTATATCAGATGATATATTTGTCCATTATAGTGAAAACTATTGCATAAAAGTATGTCTGATCCTTTAACATTCAATCTTTATAAATGATGATGACTTTGGCAGACAAATTTATTTTTTGGTTTACACAAAGGCTGATTGTCTTGGCTGTCAAATCCTTCCCCTTTTGTATAACAAGATTGATTTTTCTGACTCCCTGAGTTAGAACTTGCCCAAAGAAAGATGCATTAAAAATAGAAAATAAATGCTTAAACTGATAGAATTTATCATATTTAACCTTAAAATTTAGTATCAGGTAATATAAAAGTCCTTTCATTGAGCTTATTCATGAGCTGACAAAGCAAAAAAAAGTAACTGAGAAAGTACAGTCAAACGAGAACTGTAACAATTGTTGCAGAAGTGAATGCTCTTAATTTTATAAAAGGCAATTTAATTTCTTCCCTAGTTAACAATGATACACTTTTCTTTTTCTTAATATAATTTGTAAATATCAATTTGGTAGCATGACACTTCTAAAACTTTTCTCTAATTATGTTAAGAATGAAGGAGAATTTTAATTTCTTCATCTTGATGATTACCACAAGCAAGATGTCTGGTGGTTCTAAATAAATACAAGCAAACAATAAAAAAGACTTCATTCTTACTCAGTTTGGTTCAGCACTAAGAAAAACTGTGGGTATAATCAGAGCAAGAAAACATTAGGGAAAGATATAACTGGTCAAGCATGGTATGTATAATATTCATATTAGAGGAAAGAGAAGTATAAACTTTTTACTTGGCACGTACGCACAGAAATCCACTGTTTCTCAAACAGTTGCTTCTCTTTCCTCTGCAGACATGAAATAGCTGGTGACCCAAATGCCCTCTTGAAAAAAACAGTACTTTCTCAAACTCTGCCACTCCACTTTTCATAATACTGTATTACTTTGACTTATCTTTTAGCCACAGGCCTTTCCATGCTAATTAATAAGCACTATTTTTCAGGGGTAATTACTTATTTGTTCTAATAATATGCACATATAAATTAGAATTGGATAGTATTTGCTAACAAAAAATATTTCAGTTTAGGGTATGATGTAAATATTATAATATTTGGAAATCTACTCATGATATATATAGTTAGTAACCAATAATGTATATTTTTAATGTGAATTAACATTCATTGCTATTTCTTATTCTTAATCATTCATGTGACTTTTGAGTTTTCCATTCATCTTAATGCGTTCCTTAGAAACCATGTTTATAGATGACAAATTTATGGCTTTGCCAATAAAGTGTGCGAGCAGTTATTAAATATTTGATAACTAAACCACCAAAAATGTTAAGTTCATTTTTATAGACTTTTTTTCATTGGAATATAGTTGGTCATTATTTATGCCTCTGAAGGACAAATTATCTCATGATATCTGGGAGAGTCAGGACCATCCCCTAATCCTCCATACATGGGAATAAATTATTTATGCCTCTTATGCCTCTGAAGAAGAAGTTATTTCATGAAATGTGGAGGAGCCAGAACACTTCCCTATCCCTGTTACATATCAAGTGAATCTCTTCTAACTAAGCTAAAGCTAACAAAAGCCCTATTCAAATAGATAGCTCCATTCTCCTTACTCTCTTCTAGTTTAGTGGTCATGAAAGTCAGGCAGGTAGTTGGCTAGCCAGAAGGGCAAAAAGAAAAGAAAAATGCATCAGAGTGGCAGGTTATGTATAAACAAAAGACTAATACTCTTTATAGTATCTAACACATTCTAAAGATTACCATGAACAATTGCTAGTAATTCTAATGTATACACAGTGTTCCTTGACATGAATAAGAAAGAAATAAAAATCAATTCCATGAAGTAAGAAATGAGCATATAATTAATAAAGAAATTGTCAGAAAACCTTGTGAAATAAATTGGGAAATAAACTTAACCAAAAGGAATCAGAAATTACAGGAACGAGATACCAATTTTGCATTGGCAATATTATAATATTGGCAACACTTCTTATTGACAAAGATTGGCAGAAGACAAATTTGAGAAATGTTGGACAACTTTTAAGACATTTGCTATGAATGTTTCCATGTTACTTAAAATGAACTGCTGTAAAATTTGTACTTTGTTCCACATTCATGCACAGAATTTTCACTGCATTTTTGAGTGAGAATGTGGCACAAAACCTTATTGTTTTCAGTGGGGTGGTGAAATATAACACAGCCTTTAAACATGTACTACTGACATTTTCCTGTGTCATATTAAATAATAGAATGCAGCAATGCATGCTATATCTATTATATTTCTTGTGTATTGCACTTAATACATTTGAAATGAGATATGTATGCTAAACATACATTAAACTGGATGGGAGTAGAAAAACACCTAATATTATATAATGGAATTGGTTATGGTGAGAATTAGGGAGATGGCTCAGTTGGTAAGTGATTTCCATACAAGCCTGAAGGCCTGGGGTGTGACCTGCAGTACCCATGTAAAAAGCAAGGTCCAGCACTATACATCTGAAATCCAGGCATTTAAGGAGTGAAGACAATCAGATCTCTAGAGCTCACTGGCCA